ATTTTTTAATCGTAAAAAACATAAAAGATTTATTACAAACATCATTAAAAATATATATGTCATTAATCAAGAAAAATATAAAATATTTGTTCAACAAATTTTTAAGATACATTACACAGCATTTATTATAAATTGTCACATCTATAATAAGAAAAGAAAAATACTGATAATTCAATCATATAAAATTGGCAATTTTTTTATACAACAACTATTATTATGAATAACATGTTTCAATTTTTTTCTTTTTTCTAATTTTACAGATTCATCACATTTGCAAAACAAACTTGGTATGGCATCTTTCCTTATAATTTTTTTGCTACCAACGCGGAATAATTCTGATAAATGGAAATGAACTTAAAAAATAAGAGGTACACATTAGAGAAAAATATCTGTCCAATCAATTATCATTAACATAACATAAATGTGCTAGAATTTTTTGCACAACTACGTAATCATTACATACACTCGCTACTATTATATACTATTACGAGTATATTGGAATTAATATATTGATATTGAGAAATTAACATTGATGGTTATTTTTGATGGTGTTTACAGAAGTTACAGTTATTATAAAACATTTATATGCATGATTTGGTACCTCACACAGTACAGCTGATTTTGAAAGTTTCCAATCAGAAATTCCGGCAGTATCAATTTTTGTCTCAAGTTTAGATTTTGGGCAAATGTGCAGCAATGTCCGTTTTTATTAGAATTCGTGCATTTGGTAGCACTGCACTTGCCAGGCATTTTGTAATAATATGCATAAATCCTGATATCTGAAATGTACAAATTCGCAGTTTTATTTCATGTATATATGTACAATAAAGGAAGGTACACACTTTCAAGATTAATAATATATATCACTTACAAAGACCTTACCAATTGAGAAGGAAATTGCAGCACAAGGTGACAAGCGTACTGTTTTTGCAGTCATCTAACCTAAACGGCATATTATGACTCTATGGAATTTGATTACCAGGTCCAATAAAAGGAGACCGGATCACGCAATTTGCCACTCTCTCCCTGTGAAGCTCTCTATTTAGACCCCGTTAAAGTTTCTAGAAGAGACTGGTCATGCTGCCAAAATAGCGTGTTTGAAATGGGTGCGTGTGTGCGCTCTCTCTCTCTCTCTCTCTCTCTCTCTCAACTGGTTATAATAGTGCTCGGAATTAGTTGCACATTTCGGACCGATTTCTGAAGCGCTGGCTATTTTTTCCTCACTACCGCTCAACGCATAATGGCCGAGCCTCCGGATCGTGTTTATCAGGAGCATCGCAGTATAAGAAATATGCTGCGACCAAACCTTCTAGTTATAATCGTATAAATTCATAATTAATGTATTTTCCTTCCTACATTATTGTTATTTTTTTAATAATATGGTGATTGAACACCATATTAATAAGTAAATTTTTAGTGAATGTAATGTACTTTTAAAAAATTACTTTAATATCTAACGAGAGCTTTTCAAAATACTATAATAAAATATTTTTTCATTAAGTATTTTCCGAGTTATGAGGCTCGAAAGTTACAGTATACCATCAGCATTGAATATTATTTAGTATTCCTCTTATTTTTATTTTTACGTAAAAATGAATTTTTTATGCAAAAATAAAAATAAGAAGAATAATCTCCAATGGTATTGATCATAACAAATGTTATTTAGGTCATGTTCCTAAACAACATTCAAAGGTTTTAGCTATCGTTTTAGTACCTTGAATAACGCCAATACCGAACTCACCTCAAAAAATACTTTATAAAAAAATATTTTATTATAGTGTTGTAAACTTGTAAGTTGTGTTGTAAAGTTGTAGTATTGAAAAGCTCTCGAGGTTAGCTACCAATTGGGAGTTCCATTTGAAAAATTTAACGTGACCATTCTCTGATCTTAACAACGCCGCCCAAGGTCAAAACCAATGGTACCCTTTTAAGAAAATAATTGTGTAAGAACGAAAATATTTTAATGATAACAATAAATAAGGAAAAGTACACTGGCAATGAGAGTCAAGCGCAGTAATTGGAGCGCAACAAAATTATCAGTGATTTATTAATCAATAAATAACCAACGTTTCGGCATCATTCCGAGCTATCATCATGAATACATTACTTATTCATTATTGTCTCAAGCTCCACTTGGAAAGTCATATGTATGTCTCTTACAATGGTTGCAAGACCAAGTGATTTTGTATCTTGCAACGAGACTATACTCATTTAATATATTTTAAAAAAGACTTCACAGAAAAAAATAGCTAAAAACTTTACTGATTCAGCAAATCTACAGTCGTAATATATACATAGTCAATTTTCTATATTAAAGTAGCAAAGTTGACAGTTGAATAACATTAACGATTTGTTAAAACTTCTAATGAAATCTTCTTAGTTGTAGACATTAAATTCGCGAAGTAAGTTATGGATTTGCTGTACGACCCCATTTTTTTCCCGTGTTAATAGAAAGACTTACGAAAAGAAGCCGAGATTTATGATAGAAACCATGATCAGTCGAATTAACAAGCTTGAGTAGAATATTAAGAAATTTTGTCATAAAAAACAAAAAAAACATACATGCTAACTAAACGAATGTTAGAGTTAAAGTGATATTCAATACGAAATCGTAGTGGACAAAACCTTATTTATATTTTGTTTATTATTGGCACGTATATGTGATATAAGAATTCAGTGTCTGATTATAAGTTAATCCTATTCCTCTGTCTTTTTATGTATAGTATTTTAGATATTAGTCTTTTGTCTAAAAATTTTTCTGGATCAACAATTTTCACGTTCTCCCAATTAATTCCGGGTTATTATTGATTCTGTGGACCGTGATTACGATTTGGTCGTCGTGTTTCTATTAATATGATTGCGATGTTCAGAAATTCGGGTCTTGAGTTTATTTGCATGTTTGTCCTCTATGTATGTAGCATCGCAATCATTACATTCTATTTTATGAACCACGTTTATTCTTTTATTTGTTAAGAGAACGTTTTTGTGTCCTTTCATAAAGCATCCAAATTTGTTTAAACTAAAAAACAAAAGTTTTGGTAAATATCGATAATAATGGACCCAGCTCGGATGACCTTTACCTTGGTATATATTGTCAAGGTTATGACTCTGACTGACTTTGAGATGGTGCTTGTCCTTCGTTTAAAAGTTATCAACAAAAAAAGTTTGGTACATGATTGGATTAGGGTTATTATATATTACTAAACTTCCTGAGAATTTTTACATTTAATGGGTGTATAATTTTTTTTTTTATATCGGAGGGGAAATACCTAATGCATCCCGGACTTTGGGGTTATATGGGGTTTGCATCCATTAAACCCCCCCCCCCCCCCCGGATGTCCTGTACTGGTTCTGACCGAGGGTCTTTAGGAACGCGCGCAGTATACTTCCGGAGACCCTCGAGACCCGCCGACCTCAGGATCGGCCCTAACTCGCCGGGGAACTTTGTCATTTCCGGCTATCGGGTGGCGACTTATATATGGAGATATTCCGCTCCGCCCCGTTGGTGTTAAAGGGCTGAGTTGGGACCGCCGTCCCTCCGGCCGGTTGTCCCAACTCCTCTCCGCCGTGCAGGCGTTTTCACGCCAGGCAGAGCTTTCTTTTTTTAGACAATTCGCCAGCTTGTTTGCTGACGGACTGCTCCTTCCCTGGCGGAATGGGGGAGGGGGGGGGGGGCAAGCCAGACTCATCTCCAGCCAGCATCAAGTGGTGCTGGCGGCCGGAGCTCCTAGGTCCCCCGGCATTCCGCCATTCATGGCGATTGGGGAGGAGGCTGTCACGATCCCCGGAGGGATAACCCTGTTCTCCTCCCCGTCATGCCTGAGGGCAGATGCCTGCCCCTTAAGCCTTGCTTTTGTCCTACTAGCCGGCCTGTCGGTCACGGTCTGTAGACCTGTTTCCGGCGGGTCGGCTATCTCCTCTTTCTCCTTCGACACGCGGGGGAGGATCTTCGCGCTCCTCGTCGGAGCGCGACGTGCGCCGCGGCAGCACGGTTTGGCGGCCCTCGCGGCGGACGCGAGGGATTTTCCTGCGGGCCTCGCCCAACCCCGCCGCCATTCCTCGGAACACTCCCTCTAGATGGTGAAGAAAAAGAGTCACCGACCGGGGCTCTCTTCCGCTGTTTTTCAGCCCTCTCCTTCCACGACATCACCGTTTCGCATAAGGAGGAGACCACCCTTTAGGCACCTACCCTCTCCCCTCCCTCCCGTCGACCATGGCCTTGACCACGGTCGGCAGAGAGAGGTTCTCTCCCACTTCTTAGAGCAAGATTCCGAGCTCCACCGCCCAGGCTGGGTACTGCTCTAAAGTGTGCTGCGCGGAGTCTTGGTCCCCGTCACAATGGTGACATTGCGTCGTCAGCTCCTTTCCAATGCGACTCAGGTACTCACCGAAGCATAATGGGTATATAATAACCTAATTCTAATCCAACCATGTGCAGTATTAAACACTATTTTATACTTTTATTTACATTTAATGGGTATATAATAACCTAACTTTTTTTTGAGGGGGAAATGTCTACGCATACCCTCGGGCCCTCGAGAACGAAACCGAGAATTATGTGGGACTTGCATCCACTAAAACCTTCGCCAGTGTCCTTCATTGACTTGTTTATGCGGATGTCCTGGGCATGCATGTAGCATTCATCCAGGACGGCCGACCTGACTGGTCGGTCCTGACTTTCGGTGGATCTAACTTACAGTTAGGCCCACCGATGTCTCCGGGAAAAGGGCATTGACTTCCCTTCAGGCGAGGAAGGGGCACTGCCCTCTCGCTTCGCCTCCTCTTGGTGTTACGAGGGGGCAGAATCGACTCCGGGTTTTCACTCGGAGCCGATTCCCTCGCCTGAAAACTACCGTAAAAGCGTGCGGCAGTCGCCGGGCTCACTTTCGTGTTAGGAGGCCCGCCACGTATTGTGACCTTGATGGCAACCCGGCACTCACTAGGCTTAATCTCGGAGGGGAGAGGGAGGGCGTGTCGCGTTGCACCGACAGGGGCCGATACTATCGCCGGCCGCCTGGACGGGAGCGACCGGAGCACCGACGCAGCTTCTCCGCTCGTCTTCCACGTCTTTCTTCAGGCCTAGTCCGCTTCCTGATTCGTTCGGCCTTCTCCTTCTGCAGCATGGCAGCCTCGCAGAAGGAGGAGACTATTCTGCACTGGTCGCCGCGCAGCATGGCTGCGACCATTGTCGGCGGCGATAAATCTTCCCCGATTGACCAGACTAGAGCGACTCTTTCGTCCGCCCACGCCGGACAATGTTCTACAGGGTGTGACGTCGAGTCGAGCTCGGCGCCGCAATGGTGACACTTCATGGTCAACTTTTTGCCTATCCGACACAGCTCTCCGAAGCATCCATACCCGGAGAGCACTTGCATTATGCGATACGAGAGGGCACCATGGTCGCTCTCGATCCACTCATTAAGGTGGGGACTGATAGCCCGCACAACCATTTGATGAAGGGCGCTTGCGCCCAGAGCTCTACGATCTAGAGGTCCATCACTCTCCTGGCCTCGATGGCGAGAGAGGGCGGATGTTCCCTCCTCATGCGAGCGGCCTCTAACCAGCGGAAGATTTCCGCCCGCCCGTGCGCTATCAAGTCCGCAAAAGGAACTCCCGCGATGGCTGTTGCGGCGGCATACGACACCGTCTAGGCTCTTGTAAAGCCAGTCGGCGCTGCACCCGGCTCAGAATTTTTCTGAGCCGTGTGCTCGCTGACACCTGATCCCAAACCGCGTAGAGGAGCGCCGCCAGAACGATATATGCATATATGCTCGCCACTCTCGGGCCGTGCAGGTTTGGTATGATGCCCACGAGGGCGTCAACCTGACCGCACAGCTTGGGACTCAGCTGCTCGAAGTGAACGCTGAACTTTCATCACTCGTCGAGGGTAAGTCTTAGATATTCATAGTCAGCCCCATCCTCGCAGTCACAATTCTCACCTTAATGTCGATTGGAGGTGGCTTCTTTTTTTAATCCTCCTCCTTGTCGAAGACGAAGATGGGTTCGGTTTTCTTTGGTACCTCCTCCAACCCTATTTCTCGGAGTGAATCGACTATGGATGCCACCGTGATATTGGCAGCAGTGGCCGCGTCCCCCCAGTCTCTCTCTCCTGCAATTATGAAGGTGTCATCTATGTAACAAACGGTATGACATCCTGATGAAAAAAAAGGGTTAGATTATTACATATATACCCATTAAATGTAAATACTCGGAAAGTGGTATATAATAATTTAATCCTAACCCAACTATGTACCAAACTTTTTTTATTGATAACTTTTAAACGAAGGACAAGTATCATCTCAAAGTCACTCAGAGTCATGACAATATAGCCTTGACAATATAGCCAAAGTCATTCGAGCTGGGTCCGTTATTATCGATATTTATCAAAGTTTTATTTTAAGATCGTTCTTTATTTTATTAAACCTTTCGGATATTCTTGTGATGTATGGAATAACAAAACAGTTGTTTTTGTAACGTTATTATTGTTAAAGTCTGCGTTCAAATAAATAACAAAAATACAAGGACTCTTCGTATATAAAATAAATAAAAACATAATAATCTGACTGACAAAGTCTGTGTGAATGAAACTGCCTCTTGGCTTACGGTTCCATACATTCCTCGTCACATGGAGAAATTTAGAAGATTTTAATAATAAAAACGACATCAGGATATCTTTTCATAGCCCCAACAAAATGGGTAAATACATAAAAGTAGTAATACTAACAGAAGGATATTTGTACTCGTACATCGAAAAGCAATGTAATATATAAAATATTGTGTAACAATTGCGATGCGTCTTATATTGGACAGACGGGCAGACAATTAAAAACCAGAATTACTGAACATCGTAATCATATCAGGCATAAAACTTCTGTCCGTTCTGTCATCACTGAACATAGTCTACAATGTAATCACGATTTTCAATGGGACAACATCAAAATCTTAGATGAAGAGCCTTGTTATAGGAAACATTTAATTTCCGAAATGCTTTATATTAAGAAGCAGAAAAACAGTCTTAATTTACAAACGGACACTGAAGGTCTTCATAAGGCATATTTACTCATTGTATAATAAATAAAGTTTGACTTTTTTTATACTGACGGCCCGTCTCTTCTCTCAGTGCGTGGTGATTCGTTTCAGCGAGCGTTCACATTAGTCGATGCACAATGTCCGTTTTTTCACATCTGCATTCTACTCTTCTTTATGCTTTTATACTGGTATTTGTTATACTTATATGGATACATTTGGTTTGTTGGTAAGTTTTTACTTTTTATCGTAATTACGGTTGTCAATTTATTTAAGTTTACTTTTTTCATAAGAGGTCTTTTTCTTTTTTCTTTTTTATCAACTAGAACTTTGCTATGAGACATGACACTTTTTTGACTGTTCAATCGTACGAATAATGTTTAGTTCTACATCGAGACTCAATCGAACTGCGTGTATTCTTAATCTGTGAACTTTTGCGAAAATTAGTTTTTAATTCTGTTTCCATTATGTTAACATCTGAAGAGGGCTCAATCTGGTAGCCGGAACTTGTAATGTTATATGTTTACCTTTCACCGTTATTATTTCTTAGTATACATCTTTTCTTCTTTTTTTTATCTTTTCTGTACTTTTAATTTATGTCTTTAATTGTATGTCTTTTTAAAGGAATACGCTAACTCTTACTTCGCCCTTCATTTGTTGTTAGTTATTGTTTTTATTTTTATTTTTATTTTTATTTTTTAAGTTAGTCTCAATTTTTATAAGATATTTTAGTCTATTGTTAATAGTGTTAAAAATGAACCATAATGGATAGTCATTGTTTGTAAGAGTGTCGGCTATAAATTTTAAATTCTTTTCGTGATAAGGTGGATGCGAATAAAAATAATAATTTTGTTGCGCTCCAATTACTGCGTTTGACTCTCATTGCCAATGTACTTTTTTTTATTTATTGTTAATATTAGAGAGTCTTATTTCATTACTTCTTACGTTTAAATTCCACATGCTAAAATAAATATGCGGCAAAATATCTCATTGTTTTTTAACTTTATATTTTAGACTTTTGGAGATTTTGTAATTAAATTGTTAAAAGCGTGAATAAAACAACGAGAAATCAACATAATAAGTCGATTACGTATCAAATTTTTAAAATTTTATATTCAGTTACAACATTGTGCCTCCACATTTGTATCATGTTTATATCATCTACAACACAAAAAATCAACAACACAAAAAAATCTACACTCCAAAAAATCAAATGCTAATTTTATATACAAACGTAACTCATACATAAATAAATTAGTAAAAATTAAATTGAATGATATCTATAAGAAATTAAATGCGTCACATTCGGAGATCTTCCGTCTAATAAGAAAGATTGAAAAACATTTACCAATGGATATTCGCAATTCATTTTTTCAAAGACATGAAAAATCTCTTTTCTACTTTCATGAACAATAAAAAAAATTAATTAAACAGAAAAATGAAATGGTTAATCTCAAAACAGATAAATCGCAAATTAGAGGAAATTGAGCCAATAACATACCATTATTTCAATTCACGTAATGAATCCATTAACAAACATTTATTTTTTTAGCCAAAGAAAACAATAATAAAGAGCATAAAGAACATATTTAAACAATAGTGGTCAATCCTGATTCTTACAAAATTCCACCTATATCTTAGTCTTAATTCTGTCAAAGATAAATGGTTCATAAATTTATCATCGATAACAATACTACAAGATGTTCAAAAAATTAAGAGTCAATATTTCTTTACAAATAACTTTGAAAAGACATTATTAGAATTCATAAAAAACTGAAAATATTAGTATTAAAAAATTATCAAAAAACCCACAATTAAATATAAGAAATAGAATTATTCCAATTTTCAACAATCTTTCCTCTTTTTCGACAAAAAATAATTTTACTAGCAAAAGAATATATAGTTTACTTAGATCCACGAAAGTATTTATTAAAGATAATCCAAACATTATTTTCACGAAGGCAAAGGGAAATTCAACGATTGCTCTTCAAAGAGATGTACATAGAAAAAATGAATAATATGTCAAAAGATAAAGAAACTTATCAATTAATTAAAAAAGATCTAACTAACTAAATTATCACAAACTTGCATGATCTTGTTAAAGGATGAAATAGTTTTGAATATATAATAATATTACAACTTCCATATATAATCATCTGAATTGCAGTAATGCGAATTCACCGAGAGCTTATAGATTTCTCAAAATTCACAAATAAGGTTGTTCGTTTAGAAATCATTGTGTCGTTAGACAGCCCTTTATAGCCCTTTATAGCTCTCAATTTAGCTCTGTTTTTACACAATATAATCTCAAAAAGTATTCTTAAATCTTTTAGTTATATTGACAATAGTTTCAAGAATGTTGAAAAATTATCTAACATACGTCTTGACAATAATTTTATTTTCATTTCTCTTGACGTTATCTCCTTATTTACTAATATTCCAATAGATTTATTGAAAATATTTTCCGATCTTGGAATTTTATTTCACAACACACGAACATATCAAAAAATGAATTTTTAAAAGCCATTTCTTTAGTCTTAAACTCCACTTATTTTACTTTCAATAATAGCATTTATAAACAAACATTTGAGACGTCCATAGGCTCTCTTCTATCTCCAGTAATTGCGAATCTAGTACTATGTGACTTGCAATCTCGCGAGATAAAACTCAAGAAATTTTTAATATTTTTAATTCGTTTCCAGGTTACTCTTTACCGTTGAGATTGGGGGAAGTAAGTTGAATTTTCTTTAAAGATCATAAAACAACAACAAAATCGAGTTTGACTGGAATCAAAAAGCAACTCTCTTTCTCAGGAAGATACCTAAATTTTTACTCTCAACCCACTCTCTCTTTCAAAAGAAAGGTACAATTATAGGCATGACGGACAGATCCTTTTTATTATCGCATTCACGAAAAGAATTTAAAATTGATAGTAGACACTCTTACAAACAATGACTACCCATTACGGTTTATTTTTAACACTATTAACAATAGAATATTAACAATAGAATTAATACTAGAATATCTTATAAAAAAATCAGATCAACAACTTAAAAAATAAAAATACAAATAAAAACAATAATAACGTTACAAAAAACAACTGCTTTATTATCACAGGAATATCCGAAAGATTTAATAAAATAAAGAACGATCTTAAAATGAAACGTGATGAAATCATAGCGGTCTTTCAGACCATCACTCCGGATATGGCGCACTGTGCTGCGCGGCAAATTTCTCGGAGAGTCGAACTTTGCGTGCAAGAAAGGCACTTCGAGCAGTTGTTACATTAGTGTAAGGATAGAGTGGATTAGGCCTACTGGGGAAAACCACTTAAAAAAAAAATGCGCTAATCTATCTACCTCAAGGTGGTGTGAAAACGATAGCGTTTCCTATCTGCGTACAAAATTCGGTAAATGTACACCAAAAGTAGATGAAAAATAACATCCTGTAAAATCAATGCATAAAACAAAATGAATTTTTAACAATATCCACAATTCTAATTTTTTTCTTCTTATCATATCGTACCTTGTCGTACTACAAATTCGCGATTGATCTTCCATTGTTTGTCTCTGAAAGTATATTAAAACATAGCACGCGAAAAATTAAAGGCTCAGTTTGTCTTCCAAAAATAAATAATATTCAAGAGAGTATAATGATCGTAACGAGATTTTTTAGAAAAGCATTTTAAAGCTTAAAGTCTCTACTTTCGAGATAGGTAATTAATATTTCGATCTCTCTGATTGACTTTTTACAAAGTTATAGGAATATACATGGAGAGCTGTCAAATCTAAAAATTTTGTACAGATTTTACAAAGTTCCATGATCTAAATTAAAAATTGCAAATAAATTCTAGTGTTTGAAGAGTGAATTTTTAATTTGCTTCTCTGTGGATAGTCTTACGATTCTTTTTTACCGAGTTATTCAACATTGAAGTGAAAGGATTAGTTTTCGCTTCAATGTTGAATAACTCAGTGAAAAAATATAATATAATGCTTAAAAGGTAAATTAAAGGTAAAGATTCACTCTTTCAAACGCTGTAAACAGAATTTGTTTGCGATTTTTAATTCAAGTCATGAAACTTTGTAAAATACGTACAAAATTTTTAGAGATTTGAAAACTATCCATTTACAATCTCTATAACTTTGTGAAAAATTAATTAGATCGAAATGTCAATCAATCGGCCTCGAAAGTAGAGACTTCAAGCTTTAAAATATTTTTTTTTTAATCTCGATGATTATTTTTGACGAAATTACATTCTCTTGAACATTACCTATTTTTGGAGGACATACTAAGTGATCCTTCAATTTTTTGTGTAGTGTATTTGTAACATCAAATTCTTTTATCGTTTCTTATTGTTTCCTTTTTCACGAAATGTGAAAGTCTATTATTTTTAATATTCACGATTAATTCTTCTTTCATAAGTATCTTATTAGAGAATTACGATATACATGAAATACTTATTATGGATAATATAGCATAATATGCTACGCTTTTTGTAATAATATGATAGAAAAACATATACATGTTCTTCAATTTTACAATAGATTACGATGATAATTAATTATATTTCGAGAGCACAATGCTATGTTAAATATCATTGATACGATTAACAACAAAGAGCTTTTTTGGTAATTATGCGATAATGAGCTTAGAGTTTCTACTACTGTAAATACACTATTAATTATGGCAGATTTTCAGTGATTTTTGAAGTATATATAGAAAGAGAGATTACAACAAACTTGCAATGAAACATTACGTCTTTATTGATATTTTATCGTATTCAGATGAAATCATATTCTCCTAACAGGAAATGATAGAGAATGATGGAGAATGATATTATTTCTTTCGGATACCTTTTTTCTTAAAATTTTGTCCTTTTGAGATTTAGAGAAGTGACAGATTATGATAGAAATTAATTAGATTTTCTGTAGATTTCATCGGTTTCATAGATTCCATAGGTTTCATCGCTTTCTCTTTTTCGACATTTTTATTCATCGAAGTTTATTATGTCTTATGTTTTATTTATCTTATTTTTGCAGTGTTATTATTACATATGTAATGTAATCGCGAATGTGCGTAGCGGTCATCGACGCGAGTCCTTTTGTGCAGTGCGGTAAGAGGTGTGAGCGGCGATGTCGGGCGCTAAGCAACGGCGCACTTTCTCTCGTATCTTTCCAACGCGCTGCCGGCGCAGCCGGCATGTTTGAAAAAATAGGCCGGATTGTACTTCGAGCGGCCGGAGCATTTCTATCGGCGCGCTCTCATTAGTACAATTATAAACATTAATATCTCGATTACTATTACAAATATCGCTAAACAGTAAAGGACTTTTATGTTTATTTCGATCCCATCTACCTTCCTGTAGGGGGGAGGGGGGGTAGGAGAAAATTACACCTTGTATAGTCAGAATTACTTAATGATTTTGAAAAATTAAATAGTTTACTGAGACTAAATGAATATTGATTTGACGTTGTTAATACGTTATTTACGCATTAGTCCAAAATTGTTAATTCAACATTATTAACAACCTTATTTTTCAACAAACAATTAAATTGTATTTTGTAAAAAATGTTTTTTCCAAAATTTATGTACAGTTAAAGTAATCAAATATTTAAGCCTCTCACATACTTCAATTAATGATGAATTGAGTCAGTCTTACTTAATATATTTATATGTCTGACATAAACGCAATTCCGTGAGACTATCCAAATAAATACATGATGCTGTTAACTGATTTTTCTTGGAGACTTCCAAATGATAGTAGTCCTGCCAACTAAATAAAATTGAATCATTTTCGTTAAACAACATTGAACAATTTGTTAAGTGGACTACGGTTAAGTTTAATTAATAATAAAAAATTGTTGCATTAACCATATATTTTGTTTGACTTGAATGATATTATTTTTGCTTATGTTATTTTTGCGTGCATACATGTTTTATTATATAATAGATGATATTGATTAAAAGTTAACACTAAGTTGGCATTTTAAGATAGCGTAAACGAAAGTAGAGAAAAATATTTATTTCGTCAACCAAAAAATCATAAGTATGTCAAAAAAACGTTAATTTTGACATCTCTAACTTCACTTTTCTTATAAATGTGATAGAGCAATTCAATCTTAAAACGTCGGCCTGTGTCATTAAATAAAAAATATAATTGTTATATCAAATAATTAATAACATATTAATAACATATTAATTGTTACACAATTATATAAATATAAGTATAGAAAAAAAATTATATTATACGATAATGAATAAAAGTCAATTTAATTAAAAAAATTAACTTATAAAAGAAGTCATGAATATTTTAGACATTTGTATTGTCCGAACAGATTGCTAGAAAGACGAAGCATAAAATCTCGGTAAATGCAAAGTTGGAGAGTCTTGAAGAACGGTTGAAGATGATTCGAAATCACGCCAGCGACTTGGCCATACGGCGTGATTTTAATCAGAAACTGCTCACTGAGCATTCGGTTCAGCTGGAGACTGAGGATCATCTATATCGTTTGAGCGGTAATACCGAATCATTATTGCGCCAAGAGACGCACGAATTCGAGAAGGAATGGATGGATGTACATCGTAGAGTATCAAGTGTGGAGAAAGAATTGATTAGAGTGGTAAGGAAACTGGCCGAGGCGAAAGAAATGGTCCAATTCGACGAGAACAGCTTACGCAAATGGGAAGAGATGCTTACGCGGAAGAACGAGGATAGTCAACTGATAGAGGATTACATGAAGCAGGATACGCAAAAATACAAAGTATATAGCAATTATGATTTATGAAAATAAAAATGTATCAAAGATAATCAGAAATGCGTATATTTAAAATTTCTAGCGAAGCATTATAAGAAATTATTTCAATTAATACTAGTATAGATAAATATTAAATTTTATCTTTTTATTTTATTTGTTCTCTATTTTATTGGAAAAATATAGGATTTAGAATGAAAAAATGCGTAAAAATTGTTTTATCAGAAACTTTATCAAATATTAAAATTCATATTTAATTTAGATTATTATTTACAATTAGTCTATACGTATATGGATATATCTTTATGGTTTGTTAAATATTGATATTATTTCGGAAATGTAATGGTACATATCGGGACTTTTGGCACATATTGGGTTCGACCCGGTATTTTTTATATGAAAGATCATTTGCCGGTACCAGTTTATTCAAAGATATATAATGTATAAAACCGGAATCAAGTTTGTTTTTGTACACATTAAACATTAGGACCGGTACTAGTATTTAAAGATATGCTTTGTAAGAAGAAGAGACTACTATATATATATA